TGTTTTCTGATAGAGTTATCATCATTTTTCTGAAGCCTTTGAAAAAGTCACATTTGTAATATAACGTCCCAAATGATGATAACTCTATCAGAAAACATGGCGAAGAGCTGAGAGCCATCTCATTTTGTAGAGAAATCTTTACGCTACAAGAATGACTGTTTCAAAAGTTTATCAAGTAATGAATGAAAGTAAAAATATATTTTCAGCGTAAAGTAACAAACTTTACAAAATTGGTATCTCCACAATGGAAGGCCTTGGAGAGTGGGAGTGGTCTTATTTTGTAGGGGACACTTTACTCTATAATGCACAATATTTAACTCCAAAATTAAAATAAATTCTACAATAATGAGGGGTTACCTTAAATTTTCTCGGATGGTACACATTAGAATTCAACAATATATACACCACTAGATAGAGGAAGTCTTTCTCTACAAACCTACATATATCTCGTTCTGTAGTGAAAAATCACCGTGAAATTTATAGTCACCTGTTTCATATAAAAAAATGCGTTGGGTTATCTGAGTATAACTCCTATGCCAACCGAAAGAGAATATAAGATTCGAATGTTATCAAAACAGTGACATTGTAAACATTTTGTTAAGTTTCTTCCTTCAAGAATTTTAGGGTTATTTCAACAAGTAACTGACAGACCCTGTTGAAATTATACTTGTTGTTTCTTCTTTCGTTCTCTACTCTATCATTGTCAACCTTCAACAACCCTTTCTTTTCTCTTCTTGATAAAATATTTTTTTATGTTAGTTCATGTTAATAGTTTCTGTATTATGCTGTTAGTTGTTGTCTGAATCGAACACAAATTGTATCCGTTACAATTTCATCATCGTGGCCAGGTTCACTTGTGTCCATTGGTTCAACAGGCTTAGCAGAATTGTCTTTGTTTTGCCCATCTTGCAGAAAACTATGCAGCGTTCTTTGATTCTTAAATTACTCTGCCAGCCTCTTTTCTCGATTTTGTTTGTTCTGCCAACCAGACAATTTCCGCTTCTGATCCATATTACTGCCAAAATTTTTTAATTCAGTTATACACATTTTTCCTAAAGCTTAAATGAAATCTCCTACCTTTATTTCTTTTATTAGAAACTTTAGTTACCAATAGTCCAATATAATTTCTTGGATAAGTTTAAAGAAAAGTATCCAACTTGTTTTTCTGACGAAGACTCAATGAAAATAGTTATATAAAAGAATTTCATAACAATTATAATACACCAGATGATAATGAAGATGATACAATAACAAATGTTGCTAATGACAATACACAAAATCGATTCATGCTGCATCAATAACTCGACCTCCTTGTTTAAAAAGATGTTTAAATGGCGTGATATTTGTCACAGATGATGAATTACGACATGTAGGTAAACAACGGGACCTGTATCCAAAGATATCATGGGATCCAGATCCGGAACAAAGTAGTAGTGTAGCACGTGGCAAACCTTGTTCAATATAATGGTCAGTTGATCGTCGAAAATGGCTTAGGGCTATTTGCACCAACAATATTTACGGGTTGTTATGTTGTGTTTGCGCACAATATTCAGCTGATAACATATGACTCCAGCGTGCACATGGATCATTCATTGTTAAACCATACTATAAACCAGGAAAAAAAGGAATTGTCGGCATTATGAGTCATGAAAAGAGCGAAATGCATAAAAAATCAATTGATATCTCAAACGGACAATTAACAAGAAATGATAATAATACCGTCGCTGCAATCCTTAATACAGTTAATATGAAAGATACAACCAAAGTTTATTTATGTACACTAGCACGAACATTTTTATTCGTATTAAGTCAAGAATTTGCATTCTTTGGTTTTGAAGATTTCGTTAAACTTCAAGCATCGAATTTGTCAAAACTAATTACTACCTGGTTGCCAGTAGCTAACAACAAAAAATTATATTGGAGTGGTGAAAGTCGATCAGAATGGTTATTATGTATAAAATCATGGATTTGAATCTCAAACAGGAGAGGTATAAACAAAAGGTTTGATAAAACTTTGTATGCTTCGTAGCTACTAACAAACGCCTAATAATCGGTAACAAGTTATGACAAGTTCAATAAGATCTTGCAATCTAAATAACAGAAAGTAGTGTAATACCGAACTAATGCACTCCTGGAAATAGCCTTGTACTTGGTTGACCTCGAAATGTTATATAGTAAAAACTTGCAATTAATCATCAGTTACCTTGAAGTTTTATTTTGCATATTGAGAAGAAGTTCGGCAACAATTTTTTTTATGAATTCCGTCCTAGCCTAATCTCTCACTAGAATGGTCAGTTTGAACTTTATAGGATTTGTACAAAATTGTCGCTGAATTGCTCACCAACATTCAAAATGAAACGGACAACGAATTCACGTTATGATGCACACGGAAATCGGTTCTAGCTATCGTTTGGTTAGGAATTGATGATGTCAAACTATACTCTAGTATGTACTGCGCGATAGGTACCCGAGTACTTGCATTTTTTTAAGTATCTGTTTGGGTGCTATAAGTAACGACATAGGTAAGGCGCCGCTAATTCGAAGTTTAAGCACTATTTTATCTTTGGCTTATTTCTACATGGTTCGATAGAGCTCGACGAGCTGATTCAAAATATGTGTTTTAGCCTTGAAAAGCTGATTTTTGGTTGAGAAATTTTGGAAATATTACAAGAGTCTTAATTATCAGAAAACCGATGCTGTAAAAAAAATCTGGACAATTTTGTCTCTGTTCTAGTTTGAAAGATCCCAATCACTTTTTTCTTATTCAGCGTATGAAATTGAGTTTAAAAATGTTATTTAGGATTAAAGTGGTCAATATCAAAATTTACGTTCGAGATGGCCTTCAAGGACAGAAATATATCTAGTCTTTGGGTTAAGGGATGACGTCTCCATTTTATGACGTCGAAAAATTACTAAGATTTTCATCAAAAAAATTTGACATATATTTTTCGACGCAGTTTTTTATATCAACAGTCTGTTAAAACATAGATCCGAATCTTCTGGCAACTAGTTTAACTAATCCTGAAGTTACCTGTCAATAGCAGGTAACTTCTAACAGCGTGATGTAATAACAGAAAACAGAATTTAATATAAACTATCGAAAAACATTTTTGTAACTTGCTGCTATTTTTAATGAAGTTTTCGCATTTGTTCTTTACCAAAGAGTGTAATTGTTACGTAGCGTTTTTTTACGTAACTTGTATCCTTCTTTGTGTCAGTGCCAATAATGAATTATGTTTTCATATTTTATTAATAAAAGCTTGTTCAGATATAATATGAACTAATACGAGTGAGTAGTAGTTTATTTACAAAGAAAAGAAACTCTCTCTGATTTTAAAAAAGAAAACCAATCTATTTATATACGGAATATTGCGCAATCATCTTAAGTATTGTGGTGCAATAATCATGACTATATCGTGGTGCAATAACTATGGCCATATAGTTGTGCAATAGCCATGACCGTATCGTTGCGTAATTATCTTGACGATGTTCTTGCACAATTACCAATAGGTCACTTCGAAGGATGGAACAGAAAATCGTGTGAGAACAAAAACGACGTAATAAAGTGTCCATGCGTCCATGCAATAAGGGAACAGTGACGAAAGATATTTACATCAGAGAACGAGAACATTACGTCAGAGAATGAGATTTTCTACGCTTCCTCTGCATTCACTCTATTATTGTTACCATGTTTTTCTTAGCAAAAATACGGTATTAGTCGAACTAAAGCGTGATTTTTGCGATTGGTTGATAATAGTAAAGCACGGGGCATAGTTTCTATTAATCAGAAAACACGAAAAAAATGTGTTTCATTTTTGTGTTTCATTTTTTACCGATAAGTCTAACAAACTTATGATTTGAAAGAATGTATTATAGCTCATTTTGTAGCCCTTTCAAGTCTACATCTTTCTACGTATAAACCATTCCGGGTCTGAGTGCACTGACAACAACTATATACATTTTATTATATTCAATAAGGATTACATATATGAGAAGCAAATAGCCATAGATAATGTTTGACCAATAACTCTATAAAGACATTAGTTTGAAAAGATGTGCTATAAATCATTTTAAAGCCCATGTAATTGTGCATGTTTTCATATATAAGATTCTGTTAAGAACATTGAACTCACAGAGAAAAATGAATAAATATGATCGAATGGGGTTTTTGAATCGATGCTCAGAAATGATTAAAAATTCCAGCATATGGTAGTCTACAATAAACTTTTACGGCGCAGAAATATTAAAAACTAAATAACGAACGGTTTCTGATCAGTTCCAGCTGTTATCTTCTCAAAAATATGCGGGCCATTTTGCAGAAACCGTCCCCCGTCCATAGTTTTCTCATTTTCCGCTGTAAAGAACATAGCTTCTTAAGATTAGATGTTGTTTAGGAAAACAATCGTTTTTTCTACTACTGTATTTTCAGACAATCCTGATCAATTAGAATAATTTACGAAACTCCAACGGTAGTTGTCCTTTTCCGTATTATTCATTTCCTTGTATGAAAATGGTTTATTCAGCAATCCTTTTATGGTTCACAATTAGTTTATGTATCGTTTAATTATGGTCT